CACACACACACACACACACGCACACACACACACTCACAAACACACACTCACACACATTCACACACACTCACACACACACACACACTCACACACACTCACACACACACACACTCACACTCACACACACACACTCACACACACACACTCACACACACACACATTCACACACACACACTCACACACACACTCACACACACACACTCACATACGCACACACACTCACAATCACACACACACACTCACACACACACACACACACACACACTCACACTCACACACACACTCACACACACACTCACACACCCTCACACACACTCACACTCACACACACACACACTTTTTGTAGGATTTGAATCCAGGTGTACCATTTTGTAACTTGGTGTTTGTTTTTTTACTTCCTATATTGTGAACCATTTTCCATAGGAATCAATCTGTATGCGCCATCATTTATTAGATTTATAGATTTATATGACATTTCGTATAACCCCTCATGGCTAGCTATTTCAAATACTGAGCAATTAGCTCCCCATTGTGGGCGTTAGCTTCCCAATGTTCCCCGCAGTGAGCAGCACTGAACTGAAAAAAAGTCCTAATGGCTCCCGACCTGTTTCCTCCGAGATGCTCTCAGCTGGAACAGTGGGCCCTGGGTGCGCATTCCAGGACTCGGCGTTGCCGAGTTGTTCTCCTGAAAGTCGTACCTGCGCCCAGTCCCCCTCAGCGGACAGCGCGGCCTGGGCGTCCCTCCAGCGGCCTGGTCCCCGGGGCCGTCAGAATCAAGCCCTCCTCTCCCCTCCCCGCCCGGGCCCCTGGCAGGCCGTTTGTGGGGGGGCAGGACACGGATGCCCCCGGCACGGCCACGGCCGGACCCTCCCCTCCCCACGCAGGCCCCCGTGCCCGAGGCCCAGCGCCCGCCCCGGTGCGGGACAGCGAGCTTGTGAGTTATCGTCAGCCTCATTCCCCGCTACAGCTCCCGCCGAGCTAACAGATGTACGCACGTCTGAGCAGTCATGCGGCAAGAGACTCTGGGGCCAATCCTTCCCGGTCTGACAGTGTGTAATTGAGGTGAAGCCATAAATTTTATAAACAAGAAAAGACCACCCTCAGCAACATATGTCTCCGATGTCTGCTCGACCCTTCCAAGGTGATGGAAAGTAGAGGCACCTGCTCGCACAGGATTCGGGCCTTGGGGCACCCGGTGTGGGGCGGGGGGCCCCAGCCACTCCCAGTCCTGGGTCCGCTGCACGCCTTCCTGCCCTTTAACCCGTTCCCCAGGCTGCACCCGCGTCCCCTCTGCTGGTGCCTGCTCCTCCGCTTCCTTCGAGAGGCTGCTTGTAGTTCAAGATACTCTCTTCTCCTCCCCTCCCCACCTGATTGTGTCACGTCCTCATGACACCGTGCCAAGATGCCTGACACTTCATTGTGATATGCCCGGTGGTGGGGGTGGTGGGTCCTCCGAGTCTCCTGGAGGCCCATGGCTGACCAAAAGGGGGCGCTGGTCTCCCCATGCTTGAGGACCTGGGCCCTGGGTGGGAGGCAACCTGTGAGCAGAAGGCCATCTGCAGTTGGGGATGCAGATGGCCTTCTGCTCACAGGTACCAAACAGCACTTCCCGAGTTGGGTCCCTAGGCTCCTGGAGGCCTCCTGTCGCCCTGCCCCCCGCCAGTCTAACCACACAAGCCGCTGCTCACGGCCTCCGGGCTGTTAGGAAGCGCTTCAGAAAGGATACAATGTGATTCAACGTTAATGCTTTTCTTTTTCAGCTGCTGCCTGTGCCAGGCCTCTGGACGTCTTCCCTGCGCCCTGGCAGCTGCAGTCATCCCGTTTCCAAAGGTGAGGACGGGGGCTGAGTGGTTAGGCAGTTCGCTCAAGGTGACTCAGAAAAGAATGAGAGGCCAGAACTTGAATTCCAACAGTTTGTGATGACAGTAACGGCAGCTCACAATGCCGGGATGCTAAGTCCTGTTAGGCGTTGCCCCATTAAACTCTCCAGTGGTCCTGTCAGGGAGATGTTACAGCAGCCACCCCCCTCCACCCCCACATCCCCCTATCCACGGTTTTGCTTTCCATGATTTCAGTTACCCATGGTCCAAAAATAGTAAATGGAAAATTCCAGGTATAATTCATACATTTCAAATTGTGCATCATTCCGAGTAGCATGATGAGATCCTGTGCCATCTCAGGACACCCCCAAAGTTCCTGGGTGTCCCCAGCCTGCCCGTTCCTTGCCTCTGCCCGGGCTCAAGACCGTCTTCCGTGAGGGGCTCCCGGAGGAGAAAGCAATGGGCCGGGGCGGGTGAAGACTCCCCAGCTGGGCTGCGAAGGTGAGTGAGGTCCCTCGAAGGGCAGACCCGCCGGGTCCATGGTGCCGGGTCTGACGGGAGGGGTGGCCATGAACCTCCTCCCCAGGCACTGACTTATGAGCATTTACGCAGAATTTATTACACCAAGAACTTCATGCAATTAAACTCATCTGGATTCTTAAAAGCTCCGAGGTGAAAACTGGGACTAGCAACCACACGCCTGCAGGGGCTGCTGAGGGAGGGCTGGAAGGAGGCGAGGGTGGCATTGCTGCCGAGGGGACGTTGTCGTTGGGCTGTGTTACAAGTTCGGCTGGGAATTACTCGGTGAAGAACGCGCATTAACAACAGCCATGAGAGATCAGCCCAGGGGAAGCAGGTTGAGAAATGAGACAGCAGAATCTATTAGGCCTGACACTCCTCGCGGCCCGGCCGTGATGAGCATGACTGTCAAGCGGCGGCTGGTTGGACAGCACGGGGCTGGCAGTCACAGGCCACATCCTGGCCCACATTCTGGTGCTGACTCCCTGAGACAAGTGGGTTCCTGTGAGCCTGTTTCCACACCTGACGGCACAGTGCTCCGCCGGGGCTGCTGTGGGGCGTGGAGATGACGCCTGTGGCGGGTCCGCCCCAAAGGGATGCCCACCACCAGCTCCTCGCTGGCGTCCCGGGAGCCAGACCTGAGCTGGGTACAGGCCAGGCGCTTTCTTGGGAGCTGAATGTATGGGAGCGCCCCAAACGCCAGTAATCGAGGTAATGTTTTCCAACAGTCTTCTTATTTTTTATTTTTTCAGTCTCTTTAAAAATCACAATTAAGCAAAAGCAAAACCTCTGATCCACAAGGTGCAGCCGAAGTAAAAGCCTGCATTCCTCTCCCACCTGCTTGGCTGGCGGCCTGCATGAGGTGGACAGGGGTGCAGGCAGGTGATGAGGGCTTCAGAGGGAGGGCATGTGTTTTATCTGTGCAGTTTGCCAACTTGTCCGCCTGGGTTCAAGGCAAGGAGGCGGCCAGACAAGCGTGCACGGGTGCCGTGTGCCTCTGGCCGGCTCCAGGATGGCTGTCGGGCGCTGCCGGAGAGGAAAGCAGGTTCCTGTTTGCCAGGTGGGTGGCACAGGGCACACCCTCCAGATGCCAAGTCTGCCCTGCGCCTGGCTGTCTCTCAGGGAACCTTTGTGGGTGGGGCTGGGGGGATGGGGGGCAGCTGCAGAGGGGCCTGGAACCTGGGCTACCATCTGGCCTGTGACAGTCCCTCCTACAAGGGCTGAGGACTGGTCTGGGGACAGGCCGAGCCTTGTTCCGAAGAGCTCCACCTTCGGAGGCTGTTTGCTCCAGAGCTTCTCTCGCCGGCTGGGAGCTCGGTGGGGGCTGTTTTACTCCATCCTGCTCCTCCAGGGGAGACTGAGGAGCCCCGGAACCGAGCGCACGGGGCCGGTTGCTGCAGCTCCTGGAGCAAAGCCCTCCGAGGGCAGCCCGATGCCGTTGCCGGCGCGGCTGCCGCTGCCACTGCTCCCGGGGCCACACCGGCACCTGCACCGGCCTGTCACTCTGGGCCGCCGGCTCCTCACAGCTCTGCCCGCCTAAGAGGCCCCTGACGCTGCTGGAACAAAGGACTCAGGAGGGACATGTGCCTGTTCCTCCAGCAAAATTCCCAGCAAGGAGGCGAGGAAAGCAAAGACTGTTCGCTGGCGGACCTGCCTCCCAGCCTGCAGCCTCCTGTGCCTCAGGCTAAGCAGGCGCTCAGCTGGGATAGGGATGGAGCGCCCAGGCACATCAGCGACATCGGCGGCCTCCCCTTATCATTTCCTGCGGCTGGCAGCGTGGAGTCTTCAGGGTCCTGGGCTGTCTCCTCGCCCTCCATCAATATCCCTCCTTCCCAAGGACGCGGCTGGCACTGGTGGCCTTGTCTCACGGCGGAGGGCACGGTGGTGACAGGTGAAATAAAGCACAGCGCGGCCTGGAGCTGAGCACACGCCAGCCAAGCAACATCGGGGCTCCGTCCCACCTGTGTCAGCCTGAGAACGGAAGAGCTGCCTGCCTCGAGCTGAGAATGTTCCCCCTCGGCCCTCGACACCCTCTGCCCGCAGGACTTCCCTTCCGTTAAGGGGCGGCGTTTCTCTCTTCACGCCTGGATGGGGGGAGGGTCCCCTTGAGAGCCTCCTGCAGGCTGCACCCGCCATGCACACGTGGGCCCCCGGCGAGTGTTTCACAGGCCTCACCTGTCCATGAGCAGCTGGGTGGCTCCCAGCCTCCGCTCCCACGCCACCTGCCTCCCCTTTACACGTGACCCGGGGCCCGGGGGCACAGGGGCTCAGTGACGCCCCCAAGGCCTCTGCCACTCCGGGTCCCTGACGCGGAGCTGGCGGTGGCAGGGCTCTCTCCCTCTCTCACACACACACACTCAGTTCACGCCTTTCCCAGTTTTATTCTGTTCCCGTGCGTCCTCCTCGTGACACAGTGACCGCCTTCCTTCCCGCAGATGACCCTCCGGCAGGCCGAGGAGAGCGTGGCGGGCTGGAGTCTCCAGCAGCCGCGGCCTGAGGGGAGCGCGGGGTCTGGAAGCAGCTGAGTGCGGACAGAGACCCGCGTCCGGCCCTGGGCGAGTCCTCCGGGGTCAGGGCCAAGGGCACACTCCTCCTCCCCCTGCGGGGCCCCCACGGAGGGAGACAGGAGGGCTCCCTTCCCATTGTCCAAGCGCCTGCGGTTCAGTCCGACGGGTCATTTTTCCTGTATATTTTCTCTTGTTTCCCCTCCTGCATGGCTGCGTACCTGGCCAGCGTGAAGAGGTAGTCGCTGAGTCTGGAGGGGCAGAGAGAAGCAGACGGAAGGATCTGAAAGGGGCAATCGATGCTCACTGGTCCTTCCCGTGACAGCCTTCAAGAAGGAAGTCTGCCGCGAGCCCCAGCGACATGGACACACACACACACACACACACACACACACACACACGAAGAACAGCGGCCAGCCTGGGCCTGCGGCGGCACGGGGAGCCGCGTCCAGGAGAGCACGCGCCCGCTGTGCCAGGCTGGGTGGCTCCTGGGGACAGCCTCAGAGGCTGGCGCGCTGGGCCCCTCACTGCTCTCCACACCTTCCAGCGAGCAGGACCACTGCCTCTCACACCAACATGCCCCGGGCAGCCTGCAGATTCTCACTGAAGCTGGGCCGGGCCTGGGGTTCGGCAGGTCCAGCCCACGCCAGTGACGCAGACACTGCTGGTCTGAGGACCACACTCCAGGCCGTGCACGGCAGACCCCCTCGTTCCTGGTCCCTTTCCAGGGATAAGAGCGCCCCCAAGGAATCACTGCTGTGACCCTGACTACCACATCCCTCTCCCCTCAAAGGAGGAACAAGCTGTCAGAACCCAGCACAGCCTGGGCCCTGTCCCCGTGGGAGGAGTGGGCCACAGTGAGGGGTCGCTCCAGTCCTGGCTGCGGCCACCTCCCGGACACTCAGAACAGCTCCCAAGGGCCCCAGTTTGGCCTGCCCTGGACCTGGCCTTAAACACACGAGCCAATGCTGGAGCAGAACCCCATGGAGAAAGCCTGGGCAGCGGTGGCCTGGCTGCCAGGCTGAGAGCGGGGCTCTGGGGACTCCCTGCCCAGCCAGCGACCCGGGCCCTGTGCTGGGCCCTAAGCCGGGACGGTCTGAGCTCGCTTTGCCTGGCCATGTCCTCAGCTCCACTGCCCAGGGGCCTCGTCGGGAAAGGCTGGCTAGGAGGCCGCTCTCCTGCCTGGCCTCACCACGACCCTGTCAGGTCTTCCTGGTGACCAGCCTCAGAGCAGGCCCTGCTCCAGCACTGTCCTCTGAGCTGATGGTTTTCTTTGCTGGTGGTTACGGCAGCTTCTCCCCACAAGACCTTCCCCGCTGGGGACAGGGATTACCGCCTTGCTCTCTGCGCGCCCCGTGCCCGGCACAGCGCCTGGCGCACAGCACGTCCTCAGTGAACATGAGGTGAACGAGTGCGGCCCCTCCGTGGTGGTTACTTCCCATCGTGTCTCGCTTTTCCGAGGGAGATCTCCAAATCCCCCGGAAGTACCTGTTTAAGTACTTGCCCACGTCTGCATCCGTCTCACCCATCTGGACAAGGGGCGCCACGCTGGAAAGGGAGGAGCCACAGCGTCAGACCCACATTCCAGGATCAGCACGCTGCAGGCCCAGGGTCCGCCCAGCCAGCAGTCACAGCCCCTGCAGGTGACCTGGGTCCTGGCCGGCCTACATCTAGCCAGAAGGTCTGCTGTGGTGCCTGGATGACACGAGGTGACCCCTCTCCCCCTACCCAAGCCTCAGGCTCCCTCTCCCCGGCCCTCACCGTCGCTCCGCCCGGCGGCACACGGCCCGGCAGAAGTGCAGTGCAGCGCTGCTCTTGCCTCCCGACTGGAAGGAGAAAGCGGGCGTTAGTGGAGGGGGTGGGCGGGTGTGCCCAGTGCAGACAGAGAGCTCCTCACGGGGGGGGGGGGGGGGGGGTGTGACCCTGCCCCCAGCACAGTGTTCTGCATGCAGAGGTGGGCACCGCTTTCAGAGTGGACAGTGCTGGGAGGGCAGGGCACGTGGAGGGCAGCTGTCACTGTAAAATATTAAAGAGGGGGCGTGGCCTGCAGCCCCCCGGGGAGGCGGCCCAGTACCTACCGGCAGAATGAAGGCTGTGAGAGGGGGGAGCTGGCTGGAGTACTTGTCGATCCACTGCTCCAGCTCCAGGGTGCGCCCCGCCTCAAACGTGGTGCGTCCTGAGGAGCCAGGACACGGCCATGAGCCCCTCGCCCCAGCACCGAGGAAACCAGCCCGCTGGTTCCCTTCTGCCCGGTGCCTGCCCAACCCTCCCATGAACCGCTCAGGGTCTGGAGGCCAGTCTGACGGGGTCCCAGGTGACACGCCTGCAGGACCCTCTGAGTACACGGGGCTCAGAGAGAAGATTACTTAAGTGAGCCTCCCGGGCGGAGGAGCGGGGTGTTGCCAGGGCGGAGCCGACGTCCTGCAGGGAGCACTGGATCTGGGGAAGCAGCAGAAGGAGCGAGTGAAGATCTGTGTGGCTCCCGGTTCCCCGCGCAGGCGCCACCTGACAGCAAGGCACACGGGCTGGCCTGGGGGACTGCCAGAACTTAACTAGTTGGCATTTAAGGGCTAATTAGGAAACTGTCTGAAGTGCCAGCATGCTGGACAAGCCCTGTGGAGAGACCTGGCTCCCTTGGGGACAGTGGGCTATGAAGACAATGACCGTCAAGCGCCCAGGGGTGGCCAAGAGGAATCCCCTCAGGCCGCTCCTGGAGGTTTATCTGGAGGCTGCCAGTGCACCATGGGATGTATACGGCACCCCGGGCATCCACCTGCAGTGTGACAACCAAGAATGTCTCCAGACATTGCCAAATGTCCCCTGGGGGGCAGGGACCACTGACCACCCTTTCCATTTCCTTTCCTAGGAGCACTCCTCACCACCTGCCTATGGGGGAGTATTATCTGTGTGTCCCCATTTTACAGACGGAGAAACTGAGGCTCAGAGGAAGAGTGACTAGCCCCAGGTGACACAGACAGGAAGCGATGATCAAATGCCAAATCCAGTTACGGTCACCAGGCCTCAGGGCTAAACAAAAAATGTTACTCACTTTCTCAAGCTCTTCAGCGAATGGGTGGCCCTTTTCCGCAATTAATTCCATAGCAAACCTATGAGGGAAAGGAAAGAATCTGCTCTGACTTAACATCCAGGCCCTGCTTCGCTGGAAGGCAGGGATTCTCAGGCGATGGGCCATGTAGCTAACTGGGCTATAATAGCCTCGGTGCCATTTCTTGCTGACAATAAGAACATCATAACCTTCCACTAGGTTAAGGGTATTTGTTTCTCAAAATGCCTTTTCTTACACTCATGACTCATCCAGCCACCATGTCCTGTTCAGTGCCTACTCTGGCCAGGTCCAGGCGGTTCTGTGGTGAGCTCTATGCAGCAGGAGGGGAAGGCCTGAACTATCACGTGACCGAAGGTGAAGCTGCAAACTGAGGTCAGTGCTCTGAAGGAAAGGGTTTGATTTCTGGAAAATCTGGCCTTGGCTAGAGCTCAGGGAGGGCTTCCTGGAGGAAGTGATGCTGCAGGTGGGAATTTCCTAAGAAGGAGGGGTGGGGAAAGAAGGTGACCAGGGCAGGTCGGTCACTGGCCTCCCTGGGACTCTGCACTCCACTTCTGTGCCGTCGGGTCCTGGCAGGGACCGGGGTGCCTGCGAAGGGTTCCCAGAGAAAAGCTGGGCTAAGGGGCGGCTAACAGAGCAGGGGCAGAGTTATGGAAACTGCTAATGAGGCCAAGATCGGCAAAAGCCGAAGCCTGGCGAGACCAGGGAGGGTTCACGGTGCCCTGGAGCCTGGAGAGAGCCGCTCCTTGGGGGCCGCCACCAGGAGCCACACAGCGGGAGAGAGTAGGCGGGAGCCAGCTGCAGCTGGAGAGCAGGGCGACAGCACCCGCGGGGCTCCCCATGGCCGAGCCACCTGGAGCCAGAGGAAAGGAACCAGCATGAAATCCCCTCCAGGTGATCAGGTCCGCCTCGCCGGGCAGCGACAAAGAGAACGGCATTGGAAGGGCGGCAGGACCACCAGAGCCTCTCCCTGGCCCCGCTTCCTATTAGAATTGAACACACGTGTACTTGGCAGTCCAGTGTGGTCTTCCCTGCTGGGTGCACGGAAGGGCCTCTGGGCTGGGATACATTCTGTCCCGCACAGCAGTACGCCTCACGCCTGGCACATGGCAGGTGCTCTCTGAGCATGCTCTCATGATGTCGGCCAGTTGTAGGCCCCTCCTCGGTGCCTGCCCCACCCCAGCTCCCACCACTGTGGTTGCCCTACCCCTGCCCCACCAGACCAAGAGCTCCATGAAGCAGGGCCGAGGCTCCCTGTATAGCAGTGCCTGGCACACAGATGCTCCATCCGTTTCTGACAAAGGAAGCTTCCACAGCTGAGGCTCCGCCAGGCCCCTGCCCACATCACCTGGAAGCGATGGCTTTGCAGATTCTAAGTAACTGATGCTAGGATTCGCCTTCCGTCCTCTCTGCCCACATCACCGGTGTCTGCCCACCCCCCTCCAGCCCCCACGCCAAGGGGTCTGCTTCTCTACGCTCCTGACAGACCACCTACCCTCCCATTAGCTGTCCTGAAGGTCTCACCTGGCCAGCCCATCCTTGAGAAACAGAAGCCACAAACAGGTAGGTTTTAATAACCACAACTGCTGGCATCATTATTATTTGCACTAGGCACTGTCTTAAGGGTGAACATGGAATTATCTTATTCAATCCCGACTAGAACCGAATGAGATGGATGCCATTACTGTGATCATTTGACAAAACAGGAGACTGAGGCTCAGAGAGGCCAGATGATTTGCCTGAAGCTGCACAGCCAGTCAACACAACAAAAGCAGAGAATCTGAAGCCAGGCCTGTCTGATTCCCACAGAGCTTCTGAACCAGCACGTGAGTTAAGTGCCCCTCACCACACACTGTCAACAGCTGGCTGCTGGCTGGGCTTGGTGGACTGGACAATTGTTATCAAATATGTGCTGCCCCTCTCTCTGCACTGCAGTCTGACCAGAGAAATGGGAGCAGGAGTATGTGTCACTTCCGAGCCTGTGTGAGCTTTAGCGTGATCACTGCTCCCTCTGCCACGATGCCTGGCATTGCCCTGGAATGAGGCTGTCCCGCCAGCCCAGGTCCCAGAGTGACATCTTACGCCCAACCTGTGATGGGCTTGATGTGAGAGCACGAGATACACCTTTGGTGTTGTAAACCATGAGGTCTGGGGTTGCTTGTTATCACAGCATGACCTGGCTAATCCTGACTAACTCTCTGAGTCCACCGTCTAAATTCTGGCTGTGCATGTGCTTACTTAAAAAACAAGACTCACAAAAGGGACCACATCTGAGGCACTGTATACTGGGCTCAACTCCTTTCACTTAACCCGTGCCCCTCAAGGGCACACATGTACTCACCTGAAAAGTGAGGGAGCCAGGGGCAGTGGGCAGGGCAGCTTCCCATGCGTGGGACAGACGCCAGCACAGGAGCAGCAGTGCCAGGGGGAAGGCGCTGCAGCCCGGTAGCCCATGGCGCTGACCAGATGCTCCTGTGCTTCCAGGCCAAGGCAGGGTCATCAAGGTTTGGCAACCTCCGAGACCAGCCGGCAGTCGCCAAGGCGTCATTAATTACCTTATGGATGCCCAATTCAAGCTCCGCCGCAGACCCAGTCTCTCTCCCTTACCCAATGGCTGAACTTAATTCATCTGTAGTCCCCAAGGCTTCGAACACCTGATCATCTTTGGGTCTCCTTTCTCCAGTGAAGGTGCTAGAAAACCCTGTGGGGAAAAAGGTTCAGCTGCCCAAAATGAGATTTTTTCCCCCTGATATGCACTTCTTAGAAAAATGTCTATTTCATGTGTAATAACTGAGCTCCACATACTTTTCAATGGCTGCAAAGAATTTGGAGAACTTTAGAATGGAGCCTGCGTGTCTCTGCAGTTTTCACCTGTCCCACCCTACCTTTGTCTCCTGTTTTGGTGTAAATCTTGGGGATCTTGGGTGTCTTCGAGGGAGGCTGTGGCCTAATGAGAAAACAGACACCAAGAGGTGGTGAGGTGGTGGTGGTGGTGGAGGGCTTCCAGCTGGCTGCTCATAGCCTCCGAGCTGCACTCACCCCGCATGCTTAGCTCTCATAGACATTGCTCCCCTCCGCACCCTCTTAGCTGTAAGCCCTTTGTGGACAGGTTCTGTGTCTTGCCCACAGCCATGTCGGCAGTGGTAGAGGATTTGAATAACTGATGTAGTGCATTTTTCAATGCAGAAGCTCAATAAGTACTCACTGAGATAACTTACCAACCACTTTCCCACAGTCCCTGCACTGTGCTGACGGGATTGCCAGAATTATATCCCGAAATTGTACCCGGAGTCTTCCCACAGCTCCAAAGGTAGGCACTACCTGTGACCATTTCACTCACAAGACCAGACCCACCTGCCTAGGTCACCCAGGAAGGAACAGGGAGGGCTGGGACTTCTACCCAAGACCATCTCACTCCAGACCCTAAACTCTTACCCTCTCCCAAGTCAGGGCCTCTTGTGGGGAAAGAAACATGGGCCACATCCTTTCTATGAAACTTTAAGATCCTCAGAAATAAAGAATTGCCAAACAATTTTAAAAGCTGCTGAAACCGGTTTGGCTCAGTGGATAGAGCGTCGGCCTGCGGACTGAAAAGTCCCAGATTCGATTCCGGTCAAGGGCATGTATCTTGGTTGTGGGCACATCCCCAGTGGGGGGGGAGGGGGACGTGCAAGAGGCAACTGATCGATGATTCTCTCTCATCTATGTTCCTAACTCTCTATCCCTCTCTCTTCCTCTCTATAAAAAAAATCAATAAAATATATATATTTTAAAAATTTTAAAAGCTGGAATTTTCAAATAGCAATATAACACCTTTAATACAGATTTCAACATTAAAATATGACATTACAAGGTTTTTCAAAGGTTAAGATACTGGATCTAGGAATGACATCTGGCTGCATTATTAATTCCTGGCACTCTGCAGGCTCTGAGGCCGGGAAGGGGTGCAGGTTTCCAGGTCCACGCTGACAGCAATGTTTGGATCACGCAGTGTGTCTGTGTCTGAGGGTGTAAGCTGCTTTGGGGAGCAGAGTATAAGCTGCTTTGGGGAGCGGTGCAACACTGAACGGAGGCCCTCCTGACCGTGAAGCCAGGCGGCCGGCCTTTCGGCCCACAAGAGGTAGGCCCTGCCCTGAGTTCGTTCGGACTTTGCTGGTGCAAAGAAACCTTGTTCTCTGGCTCCCACGGCGCCTACATCAATCCGGTGACGTCAGGACAGAGGACTCACCTGGCAGGACGTCACAGCAGTGACGTAACTATGGCGGCGACAGTTCTAGGTGTCAGTCACCTCCCCAGCCTGGCACTTACCCGTCCCCGTCTTCTACGCCCGGGGAGCCGCGGCTCTGGAAACGGGGACAAAGGAGCCTGCCGGCCGCGAGGAACCCGCGGAGGCCCAGGCGGCCCCCCGAAGCCCACACAGCCATGCGCTGGCCGCTCGTCGGGGTTGACCCCGCCAGGCTCCCGTCCAGGTCCCGGGGTTACTCCGCCCACCACCCGCCGCGCCACCGCTCAACCTCTACCTCCATTGGTCCGTGGCGCTCGGCCCAGGGCGGGACACTCCCAGGATCTCGTTTTCTATTGGTTCGCAGAGGAGCTGGGCGGGGAAACCCGACGTCTTGGTTGACAGTGCCTATTGGCCAATGCTCGCGCGCTCCGATTGGCTGAGCGGAAGGGGCGGCCTGTGCGCTCGGGAGCAAGACCTGCGGCGGCGGCAGGTGAGTGAGAGGCTGTGGTAGGGCCGGGAGGGGGATGTGGGGCGCGAGCTGAGTCTCAGGACCATGACGATAAGCTCAGGGGATAAGATGATAAGCTCCCGGCATTTCCGGCTGTTTCTCCAACTCTGAGAACCACCCAGAGCGCCGGGACCTCCAGCCTGACAGACGAGCTTTTCAGCATCGGGAAGCAGTACGTTCCCCCTCCGAGCCTCAGTGTCCCCTGCCAGAAACGGCGGTCACGGTAGTGCTTAGTGCATGGTGAGGTTCACGTCTTGTTCTGCCGACGCAATTAGTGCACGTAAAGCCTTGAACGGAGGGTAATTTTGCACTATTTGTAAAAATTAAATGCGCGCCTCCGCAGACCTCGCTCTGGTGCAGCTCTGGTGCGTCGGGACCGGCCTGCGTGTCCAGGGAAGGGTTCTTCCGGGTCCATGGTTTCATTAAATCTGCCGTTGGGAGCAGTAGTAATGAAGTCGGGAACCAAGAACAGAGCCATGACACGCAGCTCTCGTGATGGAGCGGGGACGAATTGCCAGACCCTGCGAAGTGCTTCCCTTTTGTTATTTAATTCTACCTTCCCCAAACTTACTGAAGTGAGTGCAGGTATTGTCCTATGTCCTCATGTGGCCTGTGGGGAAACTGGCGCAAAGCCGTTGACGTGAGTTAGCTAAGATGGCATCCCTCGGGGAGAAGAGCCGGGGTTTGAACCCAGGACTTTCTCTGGGTCTAGCTGACTGCTGCCTTTTATTTATTTATTTATTTATTTTAAGGATGAGCTTGAACTAGGCATTTTATAAAAGCTCTAGATCTGGGGCCCATCCATCCTCTGGCTTCCCTTTCAGGAGTCCCGGGAGCCATGTTGTCAGAAGGCCTGCTGGTGTCCGCGCCGGGGAAGGTCATCCTTCACGGAGAGCATGCCGTGGTCCATGGCAAGGTAAAGCCCCAGCCTGCAGGATTGGCACCGTTCGTCCCGACACTAATCTCAAAAGGAGCTAAGAGGAAGCCTTGACGCACAGCCTGATAGTAAGTCAGCGAGGAGGTCAGTTTCTCCAGCCAGGCAAGGAAAAGTCGGGTCTATGCGCGCTGCAGGGCTGCTCCGGCCCGCTCTGGGGTAGCAGACATGGCAGCCTGGGAGTGGAGTCAGATGGCCAAGCGGTGAGCTTGGGCAGAGGAGAAAAGAGGTTTGAGGATGGACTTCTGGGGTTCCTCATTATTTAGAAGTGGGAAGACGCTAGGACCCAGCACGGGAGTCTAAACATGCGCCATCTCGCTTAACTCTTACCACTGCCCCAGGGGTTGCACTTGATTATCCTGTTTTACCCAAGTGGAGGCTGAGGCCCGGGAGAGGGTAGGAGAGCTGGGAGTGAACCGAAGCCCTTCTGAACCCAAAGCTCATGCTTTTCCCACTCCTCCTCTTAGTCTTTACGTTCTTACCCTCAAAAACGTGGTCATTGCGGGGCAGCCATTCCTCGGTGCTGCGAACCTCCGCCGTTTTGCATGGGGAAGGCAGGCATAAGCACAGTTTACTCCTACTTGGTCAGCGTTGGTTGTGCCGCCTGAGTGGGAGGGCATGCCTCTGTCGGTTAGCAGTGTCTGCCGCGCCCGGTGGCCATGGCTGTGAACCAGCATCGTGTTGAGATTGTCCCCTTCTTCCTGAAACAGGGCTTCTCAAGGCAGGATGCTACCCACCTGCAGGCTAATTGCTTTTGCCCTACAGGTAGCACTGGCTGTGGCCTTGAACTTGAGAACATTTCTCCGGCTTCAACCCCACAGCAATGGGAAAGTGGGCCTCAACTTACCAAACATTGGCATCAAGAGGGCCTGGGATGTGGCCAGGCTCCAGCACCTGGACACAAGCTTTCTGGGTAAGTGCAGGGAGGAGGCGCCAGGTGGGGGCGGAGCGGGGCCCTGAGAGACTGGTCAGATGAGGCTGGGCAGGCAGGCTAAGCTGTTCCGAGGGAGCCAGAACCCGCCGCTCTGGGATGCTTTCTCTCTAGACCTCACATAATTAGTTTCACTTATTAATTTTTTTAATATTCAAAACATAAGATGATGCACTAGATAGATCTGTGTGGGCTGTTGTGGGCAGATAAACAGGACCTACTGTTGAGTGGAAAAACAAGGCACACAACGGCAGATGCAGAGTGATTAGGAACAACGCAGATAAAGTATCAGTCTGTATGCAAATGCATGAGAACAGGCTGGGAAGATTTCCACCCGGCAGACAATGGTGGGGTAGTTACCTCTGGGAGGGTCCGAAGGTCCAGGAGTGAACAAATGCTATTGTAATGTTCTTTTAATGAGGAGAATGTATTGGCATTTTGCATAATAAAAATCACTTAAAATAACATGCTTGTTATTGGGAAATACAGTCAATACTGGAAGATTGCAAGTAAAAAAAAATCACGCATTACACCATCCCTCACGACGCTTTTAAGCATCTTGGTGTTAACCCTCTGGGTTATTTTCTGCTGAGGGTCTGACTGAGATAGGCAGATACCTTGTTTTTTAACTAAAATTGGCTCAGGCCACAGGAACTCCTTTGTCCTTCCGTATATCAGGACTGTGCTCCAGTAAATAAAAGCCCCGTGCTAATTTTTGGGAGTTGTGGGAATGCTGGCCCACCCAGCCTCCTTCATTGGCGCAGCCACCACCTACGTGGGTCAGAGCGAGAGCGTGGGTCCTGGTCTCAGTCTCCGCTCTGACTGCCGCCTTGTTGCTGGGAACAGCGGTTCTCAGCCAGGGGGACGAAGGAGGCTGCTCCGGGCTCTCCCATGCCGCTCCCGTCCCCCGGGAGGGTCAGCCCGCAGCAGGCCCTCAGCCCCTCCATCCTGGAGGGAGACGGAGAAAGGGTTGAAAACCCCCGTTTTCCAATAATCGTTTTCAACCTCAGGGCTGCCTGGAGATGCCCTGGGGAGGTTGTTGTTTGTAGCAGTTCGGATGGATTCCTGGTCCTGCCCCTTCTCCGGAGGCTCAGTAGCGGCAGGTGCGGTGGTGGGGGACCGGAAGTGTGTATTTTGAAAAGGGGCTCCACAGGGTGATCGCAGGGACACCTCAGTGCGGAGCCACTGCTTTGGATCTTGCCTCAGAAACCGGCGATCCAGGGCGACCGGACCTGGCTTTTCATGGCGCACAGGGCCGCCCACCAGCTGGAGCTGCCCCAGAACTGGCTGCTGCTTCTGGGCGTCATCGGCGCGGGTGGAAGCAGCCGGGTGGGGTGGGACACGTCTCCGGCCACTTCCGACTCCTGGTGTGAGCCTGGGCGGGCCCCTTAACGCCCTGAGCAGAGTTCTGTTACCTGGGAGGTTGTTGTGAGGATCCGGCAGTTGATATTAATTAGGTGATTAATTATAATTAGGCAGTGAGCCTCAGAGCTGGGCCTAGGGCTGTGACGCAGTGTGTGGTGCACACACAAGGGCTTGTTTTGTGGATCCCCAAGGAGACAGGGAATCTGAGCCTTTTGGACACTAGTGTTTTCTGTTCAGTTGCAGGATCCACCATTACTTTCTCTCGGTGTTCTTTGACTCCTTCCTAATACTAGTGATTACTACTAACAGTTACTGGGCCTTTGTGGGTACCAGGCACAGAACTACGTACGCTGTGCTCCTAGAATCCTGGAAGTAGGTGGTGTTACTCATGTCCATTTCATGGATGAGAACATTGAGGTTCAAGGGCCAAGTGGCTCCGGTCCTGCTGCTTGTCCGGGATACGGAAAGGATTCAGACTCGGGTCTTCCCAAAGTCAAAGCCCGGTTCTTCACCATCCATTCCGTCTCCCTCAGAGCTCTCAGTGCCTGTCCCTGGCCCGGCTGCCTGTGAGGTACCATTAATCCAGTCAGCACGTAGCACTTACTGCCCCTCCTGGAGTGTCCTACTGGGCACACCCCCCTCATTGCAAGCCCAGGCGCTGTGTGCAAAGGTGAGCTGTCCGACTCACTCTGCTGCTCAGCCCCCCGAGGAGCGTGCAGGCCTCTCACGTGCACCGGAACAGAAACTGCCCCCTGGCCTTTCCCTCCTGCCACACACTCTCCAAGTCCGCGTGCAGGGGTTTTATTTGAGTCCTGCTCTCCTAATTGTGTTCCCGGAGAGGGGAGGATTTGGGGAGTCATGTGACATAGCCTCTGGAGCTGGTTCCGGGCAGTGGAGGTCAAACCCGGGCCTCTGCGCTTGAGCTAGCATTCACTTCTCTCGTGCACGTGTGTGTTTGAAACTGTTAACGAAGCGCTTCCGACGTGCCAGGAGCTGTGAGGAGGAGTCGTGTGCCTCGTGGCACTTTATTGCATGACACTTGTGAGGAGGTGTGCTGTCCCCGTTTACCATGGAGGGCCCAGGTTCAGAGGGCTAAGGTGCAGGCTCCAGGCCAGGACGCCAGTGAGTCTCCCAGGCAGGACCCAGCCCCAGCCCCCGCCTCCGGAGCCCGGAGCCGCCGGCAGACGCAGCTGCGGGGCTCGGACGTGAGCCGTGTCCATCCGGGTCCTGGGCGCTGTGCCCAGCAGCTCTTTGTGTCCTGTTGTCTGTAACAGCGTCTGAGCCTCACTGTCCGTGTGTCCTGTTTGCTGTGTGACAGAGCGCGGTGACATCACTGAGAAAGTGGAGAAGCTGAAGGAGGTGGCGGGCCTCCCTGAGGACTGTACCGACCGCGAGCACCTGGCCGTGCTGGCCTTCCTGTACCTGTTCCTGTCCATCTGCCGGAAGCAGAGGTGGGTGCCTATGGGCCGCTGCTTCCTCCCGGTGTAACCGCAGCTGGCAGCTGCCCTGCCCTCCATGTGCCAGGCACTTCTTCATGATCTCTTACTGTCCACAGCAGCCCGCGAGAGAGACTGAGACTCAGAGAGGTACGGTCACTAAGGCCGAGCAGCTGGTAGTAAGTGGTAGAGCTGGGCATTAACTCAGTTCACGTGTATCCTAACGCTGACCTTTTTTTTTCTTTAATCCTCACCCGAGGATATTTTTTCCATTGATCTTTTAGAGAGGGAGAGGAGGGGGAAAGAGAGAGAACATCAGCACAAGAGAGACACATCAATTGATTGCCTTCCCCAACTGAGGTGCGTGCCTTTGGCCGGAAATCAAACCTGTGACCCCTTGGTCTGTGGGCCGACACTAACCGCTGAGCCAAACCAGCCAGAGCCACACTGACCTTACCCCTGTACTGCCTCCCCTGCCCTCCGCAATTCAGGAGAGGCCAAGCAGATTCTATTCTTGGATACACTGTTGGCTTCTCCCACACCGTGCCCATTGGGGCACCTTGTTCCACAGCCTCCGGGCTCCAGGGAAGCGCCGTGATTAGCAGAGGGAAGCCTGGACCCACTCGTGCCCTTGAGTAAGCCACCTCCTAGAGGGTGACAGTCCTGTTGAGAGTTGGCCCGTGGTGATGGAGAGCATGGATTGAGAGTCAGGCTGTGTGGGTTCAAACCCCAGTTCCATCTGTCTGAGCCTCCGTTTTTCTCATCTGTAAAATGGGGCAGTAATAGGACCTACCTCATAGGTTTCTCATGAGGTTAAATGAGTTCATTTATCTAAAGGGCTTGACAGAGCCTGGCATGTGGCCTGGTAAGTGTTAGCCGTTAAATAATAATTATTATTTTCTTCAGAAAACTACTGGAGGATTAGAAATACAGTACAGTTGACCCTCGAACAACCTGGGTTTGAGCTACGTGGGCCCCTCCGTGTGTGGGCCCACCTCTACGTGGATCTTTTTTTCGATAAATAGACAGTCGGCCTCGGTTTCACATTCGTGGATATACGGAGGGCAGACTCACATGTCCCTAACCCTCACAGTTCAGGGCCAGCTGTAGATGAAATGGTGTCTGGCACATGGGTATCGGTTGTTCCCCAAACAAACCACACAGTTATCACGACGATTTTGGGGCCCAGAGCCCACAGGGAAAGCCTCGGGGCAGCCTTCACTCGTGCAGCAGACGCAGCGCAGTGGGCTCTGGGTGCCCGGCACCAGCTGAGAACACATTCACTCTAAGTGTCCTGGCGCTTGCAGGTTGATGCCGGGTTTTCAGCTGGAGGGGGCATGTCCCATCCAGAAAGGCGGTTCCGGGGGGGGGGGGGGGGGGGAGGCGCGTGCATTTCCTAACCTTCTGATGGGGGTGGGGCGGCCTGTGCAGCTGAAGGGCAGGTGAGTGTGACCTCGGTGTCCAGGGAGCGCTCCCAGGGGGAGGAGACCTGAGAAGGGTCCTCAGGAAAAGAGGTGCAGAGCAGAAGTCCTGGGAGGGGACCGGCCTGTGCCAGCAGCGGGGCATGCAGGAGCCTCGCTTGAGGGGGGAACAGGGTGGCCTTGTGCAGCTGAAGGGCAGGTGAGTGTGACCTCGGTGTTGCTTCAAGAGACAGGGGAAGCGCCGTGGCTGGACATCCGGCGGTCGGAACTAATCTGGTCCCGCCTGCGGCGTCTGTTTCAGCGCCCTGCCCAGCCTGGACATCACCGTGTGGTCGGAGCTGCCCACCGGGGCTGGCTTGGGCTCCAGTGCCGCCTACTCCGTGTGCCTGGCAGCTGCCCTCCTGACCTTGTGCGAGGAGATCCCAAACCCGCTAAAGGGCGGGGAGGCCGCCAGCAGGTACGCATGGCCCTCGCCCTGCTCGCTGTCCTTCCTGTGGGCCGTGACCTGGTCCTCTTGCCCAGAACTCACCACCCCTCTGGGAGGGCATCACGTGCCACTTTACAGAAGAAACGGAGGGCAGTGAGGCTGAACAGCTAGCGGTGGCAGAGTGGGATTTGAACCCAGAGCCTGAGCCCTGAACCCCGCACTAGACATTTCAATTCCCAACCCTACCTCTCACCCCCCCCTCCTCTTTGGGGTTCCAGTGCCCAGGAAGAACCTGAGCCAGACACAGAGGGCAGCAGGGTAGATGAGGCTTTGGGCCACTCTGCTGTCATCTTGCTGTGGGCCTGTGGCCAGGCCACTGCACCCCTCCCTCGACCTCAGTGTCCTCCTCTGCAAATGGTGAGGCTGGGATTGCCCGGTGGTGACAGACGGTTATGAACAAGATTATGCTGTGCCAGGATTAAGCACAGGCGGTGTGCCCATTGATTGGGGCATCTGCCCGCCGGCAGGTCCTGGACCTGGTCTCCGCAGAGGCGTCCTCTGTCCCTGGGCGACAGTGAGGCTTGTCAGCGCTGCTGGCAGCCGCTGTGACCTGGGAATACGCCTGAGAAGCCACCTCAGCACAGAGGCGATAAAGACACGGAGGAAAAGCTGTGGTTGGACACACCGGGAGCTGTGGATAAGGCCCCAGAAGGCAGCTGAGCCGCTCTGGTTGAGGCTTGTCCTGGGCCTGAGGGACTTGAGGGAGCCCCCACTGGAGGGCCTTGGGTCGCAGCCACGTGGAGCCCAGCTGGCTCGTCCGTCTCGGGGCAGCAGCAGAAGAGCAGGCTGGCAGACGGTGCTGCTGCCAGGATGGGCACAGCTGCACCTCCACCCAGAGCATGTTCCCTCCGTGCCCTCTGCTGGGAGAGCCCTCCCTGTGCCCCCTCTTCGTCCAGGCAGTGGGGTTCAGGAGCGGGTGCTTTGTAAAGGCCTGTTTTAGTCACAGCTGCTGGCAGACACCTCAGTACACTGGCAGCTGGCCTTTGAGGAGGGAGGGACCGTGCCACAGAGGAGCAAGGTTAGGTCACTATCCAGAGTCAGTCGGCTGGCAGGAGGCAGAGTAGGACCGTGAGGACCCAACGCTGGGCTCTCGTGCCAGGTGGGAGGGTTTCGAGGGAGGAGAGTGGCACGTGCTTCAGCAGGGAGGTTCCGAGCATGTTTCTCTTTGCCTTTGGTCTCCGCCCAGCCCAGCCGGTGGCCCTGCCTCGCCTGCCCCGGGCCCCGGGCCCCGCCCGCAGTGCGCTAACCGGGAACTTCTGTGCCTCAGGTGGACGGCGGAGGACCTGGAAGTCATTAACCAGTGGGCCTTCCAGGGGGAGAGGGTGATTCACGGGAACCCCTCCGGCGTGGACAACGCGGTCAGCACCTGGGGTAGGCGCTGCCTCGGCTGGCTTTGTTTATCTTTTACGCCCATGCACTTGGAGGTGCCTGGGTGTGTTGGTTTGGGATGAAGAGAGTCATTTGGTTCTGAGAAAAGTAGCACTTTCCCGTTTGAAGGGAACAGGAGGAACCTCAGCCTCCCACCTTCTCAGTGCGGACCCCGGGGCTGGGCCGGGGCCTGGGAAGCGGCAGCTCCAGGGAAGTCCCCAGGGGGCCCCGAAGTTAGAGCTGCAGAACCACAGCTGGGCCCTCCATCACTCGTCACCGCTGTCAGAGGAGCTGGCAGCCCGGGGAAGGGAGCGGCCGGGAGCCCACGGCCCGCAGGAGCGGCCTGGCAGAGCAGGGGGCCTTCGTGCCCTCCTGGCCTTTGGACCGGAAGCTGAGGTGCTAGCTCTGGGATTGAGTGTGTTCCGGGATGGGGCAAAACTCAAACCCACCCCCAGAACCTAACGTCTCTCCCAAGAGACGTTCGGGTTTCTGACCCTCTGGTTTCTCTCTTCAGGAGGAGCGCTCCGATACCAACAAGGAAAGATCTCACCCCTCCAGAGGTACGTCCGGTGGAAAGCGCCCTCGGCAGGCCATGCCGGGAACTCTGTGTCTTTATGCAGCATGCGGGCAGGGGGCCCTGGGCTTTCCCGTCCACCGGTGGCCCTTACAGACCATCCCCCATGAGAAAGCCGCTCTTTGCTCTCCACCTCCGCTCTTAAATCGCCAAGAGGTCAAAGGGGAGGTCATGCATGGCTGTACGTCCACCTTATGTGATGGCTGCTCATGTAGTCACTCAGTCACTCTGCAAACAAGAACTGAGTCTTCTGTGTTCCTCAGACTCGGCTTTGGGAGCGAGGGTAGAAAGATGAATCTGGGACACAGCTCAGGGGGTGGGGACCGACATGCACACGAGACCACGTGAGAGCTGCCGTGATGAAGGCAGCAAGGAGAGCCAGGACGGGAGTGAGAGTGGGCTGTGGAGGCGCGGGGCAGAGGGGACATGGGTAGCGTGCAGCCCGTTTCACTGGTTCTTTACGCCGTCCCTCTGAGTGATTGGCATGACAAGTGTATGTTACACGTCACCTCCTCGGTTCCGTGTGCACGCAGTGGGAAGTCAGGAGCAGGGAGTGTGGTGTGGGGCAGCAGGAGCCGGTGCCCTCCATCAAGTCCGGTCTAGTCAGGTGATGATGTTGGTCCCAGGATGCTTTGCTGCCTCTGTGGCCGGTTCACACTGTGAGAGCGCCCGGGCTGGCTCTCAGCCGCCTGACCCGGGGCTGTCTTTGTGGATGGGCAGCAAGCCCCGGACGCCTGCCCTCGCCTGCTGGGCCACTTCATACGTGGCTCAGCGGCCTGGAGGGACAGGGGATGCTCTCCTGCGCCTCTGGGATCTTCCTGTCGCAGCCATGCGGGCTTCCGGGAGCCACGCCTGCTTTCCTGAGGCTCGTGGTCCGTTCCTGAGCCTCGTCGTGGGTTTCTGAGCCTCCCACTTGGGCTTGTGGCGGCCTGTTCGTACGGAGCCGAGCAGCAGCCTGGCTCTCCCCACGCGATGCCAGCAGCATCTCCCAGCAGTGTCTCTGGTGGTGACCACCCATTATAGTTCTTGTCGTGGCCACATGTGCCCTGGAGCCGGCCTGGGTGACTGCCTCTGCTGTGCACAGGGGAGGAAGCAGGGCGCTGAGGAGCGTGCGGCAGCTTCCGGTGTCTGCTGTGGAGGCATGGCAGTGCAGCCGAGGGCCCAGGCACACTACCCCGTGGGCAGTGAGAGCAAGAGCAGTCGGAGGATTCTGGGATGGCTGGGCCTGGGCCCACCCTCGGGCTCACCTCACGGTCTACGGGAGGAGGCAGGTGATCGCAGAGAAAGGCGTCCAGAGGCTTCTCGGTGACAGCGAAGGGTATGGTGAGGCAGGCTGCAGGGCAGGGTCCTGCATGGAGGCAGTGCCATCTCATCCACTCGGTGTTTCCTGAGAGCCAGGTGCATCCTAAGCCCTGATCCCGGCCCCAGGGAGAGCAGACCCATGGAGACTGGGCCTGTGCCGTCTCCTGGGTGTCAGGAGCGAGGGAGAGGAGTTTCTAATGCCGGAGGGGGCAGGGGAGAGGCCTGAGGCAGCTCGGGGCCGGTGTGGTGGTGTGGGGATAGAGGCTCAGCTCCGGGGGCCTGGGTGTGGGCCCAGCTCTGCCACTTGCTGGCCAGATGCCCTGGGCGGAGTCGCCATCGGAGGCCTTCCTCTCCTTGTTTGTGCGGTGGCTCCTGAGCATGAAATCAGGAGCAACATCTACAAAGTTCGCAGCTCTTCGCTGACCAGTTTTACTATTTGTTCCACAAGTTACTGGATAGCTGCTGGGAGCTGTGCTGGGGCCTCGGCCGGGCACGGAAGGTCCTGCCTGCATGGGGCTCCCAGTCAGTGGGAGGAGACGGCCAACAAGCACGCTGCTCTGTGCGAGCACGCCGGCCAGTCCGGTGCCTTCGGGAAGCAGAGCAGGGCGAGGGCTCCCTGCGGAGGGAGCTCGGTGGAGGCGGCGGGCAGTGGAGGCTTCTGAGGAGATGCTATCTGAGCAGATACCTGAAGGAAATACCAGAGTGAGTCACGCAGCATTGAGGATGGAGGCCGGTCACCGGCAGAGGACACACAAGTGCAAAGGCCCTGGGGCCGGAAGGAGGGAGCCTGGCGATTGAGCAGCAGCTGGGAGGCCAGGGTGGTTCAGTGGGGTGAGCAACCAGGGAGGGCAGAGGTGAGAGGAGAGGAGGCTGGGGCGGTCGGCGGGCCAAGTGCACACAAGCACGTGCAGGGCATGGCCCGGGGGGCAGCCACAGGAGTTCACAGGCTGGCGAGAGGCCCGTTCCTAGAGGGCTTACCTGAGAAAGATGAGGAGGCAGTACCAGACCCCTCCTGCCTGATGGATGGGCACAGCACACCCACCTCTGCGGCTGCGGGGCGCGTGGTGAGCAGATGGCGCGTCTCCGAGAGCAGAGGCCAGACCGCGTTAGCCCGGCCGGTGCTCAGCGGAGGCCTCCACCTCACACCGCGTGTGGTGCTTCCCCAGAAAGAGGTGTGCTGTCTGCCTCCCAGCACGCTGCCTTTGAGGAACGGCTTGTCTTTATGGGAAGAGAAAAGCCAAACAGAACGTTCATCTTTTGTAAAGCTAAAAAAGAGCCGCCGCCAAGGCTGGGAGTCGATATCCATTTCATGGGCTCCTGGGCGGGGAGATGAGCAGGTTCTGGCAGCCTCTCCTGGCCCCGTTGGGTTTTCAGCCTGGAGCTGTGAAGAGAAGAGGGACTGAAGGGGCCACGGAGCTGCCCTCGCCAGCTGTCCGGGCCGGAGCCCATCCAATCCTCCACCTCCGTCCCCGCCAGCGCTGCTCCGGAAGTGGGTGGGATGACGAGAGAGGGCTTGAGTCCCCAAAGACAGCTGACCACAGGACAATCGGGCTGTGGCTTTAGGAGGGTTACAAAGCTCAGAGGGCAGGTGACAGCAGGGTCACGCTGGAGAGCCAGCTTCCTGGGCGGCCACTGACTCCCTCCCAAGAATGGGCTTCTGCTGGGAACCCGGCTCCCCCACAGCCTGCCCGACCTCCAGTTTCTGTGTGGACTGACCAGCTGAAGGGCCTCTTCCCTCCCTGCATCCCCTCTGAGCAGAGCAGTCCACCCTGGGACCTGCCTTCCTTCCCAGCACCCTGCCCTCCTGCTCCGGAGTGGCCCTTCCTGGAGTGACTTTGATCTTCTGACTGCACGAATGCGCCATGCTGTCTAGCACACATGGGTGCCCAGAGTGAGTGAGTGAGTGAGTGAGGAGCATGTCCAGGGCGGATGCGGAGGTGCAGCTGTGGTTGGTCGCAGGCACAGGGGCCTGGGCGGCAGGAGCCGTGCTTCCCCTGACCCCTGTCACTCTCTGGGCTTCTGCCTCCACCTCCTCTGTGTGGGGCAGGTGGTGCCCCAGGCTCCCCCTCCTGGGCTCACGTGGACCTCTGTGCCTGCAGGCCGCCGGCTCTGAAGATCCTCCTGACCAACACCAAGGTCCCTCGCAGCACCAAGGCCCTGGTGCTCGGCGTCAGGAACCGGCTGCTCAAGGTGCTCTGGCCCCACCCCTGGCGGTGTCTGCCCGGTGGCGTTCATGGGTTGGAGTTCTCCCTCTGCCAGGGGTTGGCAGGGCGGGATAGAGTCGGGACCGGGGAAGGCAGTTTGGCAGGAAAGGAGGTGCTGTCTGTTCACACCCCAGCTGGGAGGCAGGGCGGGATCGTCCATCATGTGGCTTTACTGCATCCATCATGTGGCTTTGCTGCGAGAATCTCCTGCCTGTAGGGGGCATCTGGGCAAGGCAGAGGAGAGGTCTCCTCAGAGGAGGGCAGTGGGACCCTTCCCCTCCCTCCGTTGCCGGGCAGCTGTCCAGGGCCCCCATAGGCCTCACCGCCCTTGCTTCCTTTGCCTCCAGTTCCCAGAGATCGTGGCCCCCCTCCTGACCTCCATGGACGCCATTTCCCTGGAGTGCGAGCGGGTCCTGGGAGAGATGGCCGCGGCCCCAGCCCCGGAGCACTACCTCGTGCTGGAGGTAAGAACCTGTCTGCGGGACCGGGTCACTCCCCCCCCCCCCCCCCACTGTCAAAGGCAGGGGCTCCCCACCTCTCTGAGCTCCGAATCCCCAAGGTCGGGCCTGCGCTTAGGGTCCTGCGTGTGCACGTGAGCAGCCCTGCCTGTGTCATACCTCGTCCCATGAGGGGGTGAAGAAGTGAGGGACAACGGACAGTGCTCAGTGGTGCGTGTGGGCAGGAGCCCTGACCGGCTCCCAGGGCCAGGAGAGCTCTCCCTGGGCGCCGCTCCCAATGGGGCAGACATTCTCCAAGACCCACTCAAGCTGCTTTGTTAACTCCTCTGTTCGCTCAGGAGCCAGGCCCCGCATCCTTGGGTCAGGCAGTCTGCCGCTGTTCTCTCATCGTCATTGTCCAGCCACCACCCTTCGCATAATTCCAGAGCGGAGGCTGAGCCCTCATGCTTGGGATTTACTAGACTCGGGTCTGAGTCCGGGCCCACCCCCGCAGTGTCGTAGGAATGCAGTGAGGTCTCCTGGGCGATGCAGTAAGCCCGAGGGCCCGCCTCCCGCTCAGACACGGCCCATCTGGCCTGGTGCGCGTGGGCTGGCATTGAAACGCCATCTGGCTTCCCTGGAAGAACCACAGCCGGCGTGGCCGTGCGGCAGCAGGCAGCTACAGGCAGAAGGCCTGTGTGTCCTCCCCGCAGCCCGCCGCTCCCTAAGTCTCGCCCCCAGCACCACAGCCTGCTGTCGGTGTCAGCGTGGGCGTCTGCGCCCCGTAGTGAGTGGGAGCTGCTGCTCTGAGTCCTTTCAGAAATGACTTCTCACTGGGTCCTACAACACCTGCCTGTGGAGTAGGCGTGTTGCCCATTTTAGAGGTATAAAAACGGGTTTTCAGCTAGTGAGTGGCTGAGCCCGGGTTTATTTCTTTAGCCAGCAGATGTTGTTTTTTGTTTGTTTTAATATATTTTATTGATTTTAAAGAGGAAGGGAGAGGGAGAGAGGTAGAAACATCAATGATGAGAGAGAATCATTGATTGGCTGCTTTCTGCCTGCTCCCTACTGGGGATCAAGCCCGCAACCCAGGCATGTGCCCCTGGCTGGAACCGAACCTGGGACCCTTCAGTCCACAGGCAGATGCTCTATCCACTGAGCCAAACCAGCCAGGGCTGGCCAACAGATGTTTACTGAGCACCTTCTGTTGGCCAGGCCCAAGGAACAACCTGATTGCTGTGCTTTTGCCCTCGTTCAGCCTGTGCCTGGCTGGCTCTCAGTCCCTCTCACGTCCCTCTCACGTAGAAAGGACGGAACCGCCCTCCCGAGTGGGAAATTACCCTGTTTCCCCAAAAATAAGACAGTGTCTTATATTAATTTTTTCTCCCAAAATTGCGCTAGGTCTTATTTTCGGAGGATGTCTTATTTTCGGGGAAACACGGTAGTATTGACAGAGCCCTGCCTCTGACACACCTGAGCCCGGGAGAGCGCCGAACACGCGTCCATCAGACGCGGGTATATTTTTGGCTGTGGCAGCGCTGAAATGAGTAGCACGCCGCCTGGACAGCTCTGCACTCAAACCAGCGAGCTGTTCTCCCGTGTCACAGCCTGTCATCCGGTCCTTGACAGATTTCGGATCAGAATGTGACAGGTGCCTGGAACCTGCCTCAGCAATGTGACATCTGGCGCTCAGGCTCAGAGAGGCCCCGTGAGTCTTCCCGCACAGCCACGACCAGCCTCAGGCTGCCACCAGCCCTCACGCCTGTCCACCTCTGTCACAGTGCGGGGCAAGGCGGCTGCAGGGAGCATCTCCACGGCTCACGGGCGCCCCTAGGACCCTGGAGCAGAGCTGCGACCCGAGCCACACACCGCGAGGGGGTGCGGCAGCAGCGCGCAGGCCCGGGCCCAGGCGGTAGATGGACGTGAGCTCTGTGTCAGGCAGGCCTAGCTCCCGGTGCTGGCTCGGGCCTGACCAGCTCAGTGACCTCAGGCAAGGCACATTCCTCTCTGAGCCTCAGTTTACCCCTTTGTAAAATGGGGTGGTGGTCCTGTAACAACAGAAGCACTACTAGCTGCTGATGCTTGCTGAGCCTCAGGCCAGGTATATGGAAGACTCACCTCATTATATCCTCATGTGTGAGGCAAAGCCTGTTACCGAAGGCAGGCTGAGGCTCAGGAACCACGACCCTGAAATGGGGGTCTCTGACTCTCCAACCCCGGCCCGCTGACTCCAGCTCCCACAGCCTAGCTTCCCAGGCGAGGACACAGCTGGTGCTCACGGTTACAGCCCCGCACGCAGCGCGACGCCAGCACCCTGCGTGTCTGTCCACCCTCACTGAGGGAATGAAACGCGGGTGCAGGATGCCGGGCAGTGGCCGCTGTGAGTTTTGTTAGTTCCCCAACCTGATCTCATTGGATCCTCAGGAGGAAGGAACCGTATTATGCATAGCCAAAGAAAGCTGACTGTCTCCCCCACTGGTGTGTGATCTTTCTTGAAACGTTTACAAATGAAGACCCACTCAAGCAGGCTTTAGCAGAGAAGGAATGGATTGGCTCAAAACTGAGCACCAGAGGGAGTAGCTTCAGGCACAGCTGGATCCAGGGGCTAAACAGCCTCTGAAATCTCTGTCTCTGTGCAACCCCTGACCGTGTGCAGGGTAGTAGGGTGGCCTCCCTCTGAAGTCAGCCGGTTTGAGCAGTCCCAGTGGAAAGAGCGACTATACCTTGAGAGGGCCCCGTTTGGCCCATGTGCTGGTCAGTCACCATGGCCACGCCTGGGACACGTGCCCACTGCCGGCTCCACCCCAGCTCCTGGCAGTCCTGCAGGAAGGAGAGGCCCTTATTACCAGCAGAGAGGGCCTTGTGCTGGGTAGCCCAAGCCATATGCTGTCCCAAACCGGGGTTCTGTCAGATGGACGGGGCGGGCACAGGACCCCGGCCTCAGGCAGCCAAAACGGAACAGACTGAATCTTCGCCTCCAGGAGCTGATTGATATGAACCAGCACCACCTGAATGCCCTCGGTGTGGGCCACGCCTCCCTGGACCAGCTCTGCCAGGTGACCATGGCCCGCGGGCTGCACAGCAAGCTCACTGGTGCCGGTGGCGGCGGTTGTGGCATCACCCTCCTCAGGCCAGGTACCGGGGCGGGCAGGGCATTTCCCTTGGGAGGAGGAGGAAGCCTGCCAACAAATCTCACCTCTGCTGTGTGGCCTTGAGCGGGTTAATTAACCTCTCTGGGCCTTTGTGGCCACATTGGTCAACTAAGGATGCTAATATCTAGTGAATAAGATTGCGGGGGGGGGGGGGGTGAAGGTGCGTTTAGAGAGCCTGGCACGGGGCTGGGCTCACGTTGTGAATGCTGGGGCTCCCGGTGGTTAGTCCCCACACAGCATGACTCAAAAGTCCGCCGTTGTCTTGAATGGGGCAGACATTCTCCAGTCATAGCTGACCTGCCTCTTCCCTCCCCTCAGGTCTGGAGGGCCCAGAGGTGGAGGCCACCAAGCAGGCGCTGACCGGCTGTGGGTTTGACTGCTGGGAAACCAGCATCGGGGCCCCCGGCATCTCCATCCACACGGCCGCCTCCCTGGACGCCCCCATCCGGCAAGCCCTGGGCGGCCTCTGAGCCCCTGCCGAGCCCCTGCCCGGATTGTTCTGGGGCTGGAGTGGCCTCTGGCCGGCCAGAGGCGCCCCTGTGACGTCTCTTCCGCTGGCTGTGTCTACTGAACCACCGAAGGGCCTGGAGCCTCCATGGCTGGCTCCCCGGGGACCTGGTCTGCGAGTCGTGTCACCAGCGCTGGGCAGAGGCTGTGCCCGGTCCCCTGGGACCGCAGAACTGAGAAATGAGGTGCTCTTTCTTGTCCTCCCTGAGGCTCCCAGACCCTCTGCTTTCCCTCAAACTCCCTGGCGGGCCTGGCGGGAAGCTCGGGTGCAGGGGTCTGGTTCCCAAGACAGCGTGCCTTCTCCCTCCTTCCCCTCTGCACTTCCTCCTGTGTCTCAGGGCCAGCCCGCCCACCTCCTCCAGGAAGCCTTCCCAGGTCCCTGGCCGTGACCCTCCCTTCACACCTTCAGTCTTTTTAAGCCGCCAGCACTTTGCGTGGCTCTTCTCTCCAGCTCGATGGTGGGCTCCCCCAGGGAGTGTCCGGGTGGTGTCTTCGGCTTCTGTCCTGTGGCCCCAGGGTTGACCCAAGGCAGGGTGGATGCCCAGTTTCTTCCAGTCTGTGCCCAAGGGTTTGCAGAAAGGATGGCAGAGGGGAATAAAAGATCTTGAGTAACAGCGCTTCCCTCTGCGTCCGAAGACGGGGTGATGCCAGCCCACCCACACCTGCACCTGCTTCCCGCCCCGTCTCCTTCTCTAGCTGCTTCCCAGTGGGGCCTTCAGGAGTTCAAGGGAGAAGGGCACCTAGTCCCTTGGTGGGGTGCCTTGGGGACTGGCAGTCGGGGGGGGGGGGCGGTCTCAGATGGCCCTGGTCGGACAGGGATGGGCAGGACAGTATGCTCTCTGTCTACCACACAGCTCCCACCTGCTTTTCCAAAAAGGGGGAGTGTAAGTTTCCTCACTCCTAGAGTTATGAGCACCCACAAATCACAGATTTCTGTAAGCTGCTGTGGGCTTGGAATGTTCCTTTCTTTCTGAAATTGTCTGTCTGGGTGGGCGTAGAACCCGGTGCCCGGCACCTACCTGGCAGATTTGAATTGTATATTGCCAGCCAGGTTCTTTCTGGAAGGGAAACCCCATGTAGCTAGCACATTGCCAACTGAAACTCCAGGAGTCCCAGGCCTGAGACATGGACTCAAGGCAGGAAGGTGGGGCTCTGGCAAGGGATTCAGGATTTGGTGAAAATGGCTTAGTGCGCTTCTGCCCTTGGCCACTAGGGGGCAGCTGGCGCCTTCCCAGCGTTTTCACAGGGTAATGGGAGCTGGCCTGCTGAGGGGAGTCTGAGCTGAGCGTGCCTGCCCCGCTTAACTTGTAAAAATGGCCCCGTGGTCACTGCTGAGGAGCTCCTTGCCCTGCCCTTCAGAGCAGTGCGTGAACCAGTGTTCACACTGAGCCTTCTCATGTGCCGGGCAGTGACCTCCCCCAGCCTGGGGTTACATTGCTCCTCTCAGCTCCATTTTACAGATCAGGACACTGAAGCTCAGGGAGGTTGAGTAGCTCATCCAAGGCCACACAGCTAATCCATCAGAGGCAAGATTCCAGCTCAGATGTTCCGACTCCTCACCTGCCCTCAGCCCCTGTGCTTCTGCCTGGACACAGGTTTGTTGCGATTTCTTGCTGCTTTCTATACTCAGCTCCTTGTTTCTTCGGGCGCTGATGCACTCAGAGTGGTCGTGGCCTGGGTGTCATAGTTGGAGTGAGCAGCCAGGCTGACAGGTGCTTTCTTGGGGGTGATGCTGGTTGGCTGTTTCCAGCCTGAAGGAGGTGGGTCGGGCGCCCATAGCAGGTGTAGGATCTAGGGGAGGAGTCCACAGGCCCAGAACCCACCTGCTCACTAAGACCCTTTTCCTGACTCGGGAGCGGTGTCACTCCTGGGGCGGAGACCAGCGCATTACCCTGGCCCATAAAGCAGCTGCCTGCACGCCGGGACCCCACAGCCTCTCCCCTAGCCCCTGGCTTTCCAGACTCCCACTCCCTCCCAAGAGGCGGGCACACAGCCCCCGTGCCCTCTGCCAGCTGGAGGACAGCGTTCCCCAGCCCAGCCTCTGCAGCCAGGTGTGGATTTAATACCCACCCTCTGCCCGGTCTGGCAGAGGTCTCACTCAGGTCAGGATACTGTGACTCATACCAAACGGAGAGCTGCTGTAGTTCGCCGATGCTCTGTCTGTGAGGGCTTTCTCTCCGAGAACGTCCCCCAGGGGCTGCCGGCCGCCGGTTCAGATTGGCGACAGGTGGCTGGTGAGCAGGCACCCAGCTCACTGTGGACCAGCTCCATGGCTGTCTCTTAGCACCTGCTGTGCCAGGCCCACTCATTGTCTTAGACAAGGAAACAGATGTTAGCAACATGCCTGTTAGATGTTTTGATGTGTCATGGCCATGCCATTGTCACATTTCCCTGTAATTGTCCCCAGAATGTCCAGAACCTCGTATCTGGAGGTATGGCCCTGTGTCACCTTTTCATCCAGCACAGCAGCCCCCCCCCAGCACACACATCACCGCACACATCTCTCCGCCGCATGGCTTCCTCAGTACATGCCACTTCTGCCCTGGCCGTTCGGTCAGGCCTCCTGTGGCTCTTTCAGCTCCTGCAGGGCTGACAGCCAGCCTTCCTGAGCACCTGCTTCCTGCCGCACGTGGCACCGAATGCCTATCCCCGTGGCCTTCTCAGTGAGATAGTATCATTCTGGTGCCCATTCTGTTGATCAGTAAACTGAGGGGCTTGCCTAAGGTCTAAGCAGCAGAGCGAACCCAGGTCTGTGTGACCTCAGTCACTGTCATGTACTACCTGGGAGATGACTGATGACCTCAAAGTCCCCTTCCCAACCCTTGCCTAATGGTCATCACTGGGTTGTCACACCCGTCCCAATGGCACCTGTCCACTCATCCTCATTGCTGCCCACACATTGGGCCCCGTGGCTCTGCCACACAACAAACGGGAAAACTGACGGACTGCTGAAGATCACAAACTGAAAAAAATAAATAAATAAAGCAAAACAGACAAAATAAATAAATCAATAATAATAAAGACCACAAACTGTCCTAGCCATCGTCTCCCCACTGCACAGGAGAACCTGGGTGCTGGGTCGAACAAGCACCACGCTCCATGTCTTCTCAAAACTGAAACGGACAAGAGCAAGTCTCCGGAGTGAGCCAGACGATGTTTCAGCTGCTTATAGTTAGAACCCAAAAGCATCAGGTCGGAGGACCCTCAGAGATCACTGTCTCACGTCTCATTTGCTGCTGGGGAAACCAAGCCTGGAGGGGGCAAGACACCTGCCTAAGGTCACACAGCAGCCACCTGTCACAGAAGGCACTGCTAGAGACCCATCGCAGAGTTGGCTTCTGCACCTGCTGACTGGCCCAGGGCAGGAATTCCCTCTGGGCCTCCATTTCCTCGAACATAAAATGCCAGGCAGTCACATTTAACTCCCAGAATAACTGGAGCAGGTAGACAGAACCGCAGCCCCACGTCTGGAACGGGGCCAGCTGTGACGGGGAATCCAGAAGGCTGCGGGTTTAGGGACGGGCAGCCTATGTTCTTCCCTCCTGGTGTCTGGGGCTGCACCACCCGGACTCTGCAGGGAAAGGTGTAAAGAGCAAAGACTGCACATACATATCAGCCTGTGTTGCACCTGCCAAATGCGCTGGTGCCAGGCTTCTGGGTGCCAGCGTCCTAGACCAAGGGCCTGAGCGAGGCTCCTGTTCTGCAGAGATGCTGCACCTGGAAGCTCAGTGATTGGTCCACGGCCACGGGGCTAGAGGGGGGGGCCCAGGCTGGAGCCCCAGCCTCAGGCTGGACACGCCCTCCCACACTGCAGGGTCTGACGGGGCCTGTCTCTGCCTGTCAGGGTGGGAAGGCTCTGCACTAGCCACGTGGGGCTGGACGCTGCCCCACACAGTGCAGGCTCCAGGCAGGGGCTCCAGGCCCTCAGTGCACGGGCTCAAACTGGAAGTCAAACCAGAGCAGCCATCGTATTTATTTTTTCCAACCATAATGTGCCAGGGCTGTAGGGAAATGGCCCAGCTATGGGACCCTCTTGGGGGTCAGCTTCTTTCTGAAAGCGGGCAGGAATGGGGCGGCCGGGTGGGGGGGGGGAGGCACAGCCTGAGAGAGAAGAGCCATCCCTCCATTCCCTCCAGGCAGCCAGGACGGTGGTGAGGCCCTAATGCGTCACTTTCACCATGTTCATGGGCTGACGGGGGGTGGCCTCCTGATTACACACATACCACACACATGTGCATATACACACCATGTTCATGGGCTGATGGGGGGGTGGCCTCCTGATTACACACATACCACACACATACCACACACATGTGCATATACACACCATGTTCATGGGCTGACGGGGGGTGGCCTCCTGATTACACACATACACACACATGTGCATATACACACCATGTTCATGGGCTGACGGGGGGTGGCCTCCTGATTACACACATACACACACACATACCACACACATGTGCATATACACACCATGTTCATGGACTGATGGGGGGGTGGCCTCCTGATTACACACATACACACACATGTGCATATACACACCATGTTCATGGGCTGACGGGGGGTGGCCTCCTGATTACACACACACACACACACATACCACACACATGTGCATATACACACCATGTTCATGGGCTGACAGAGGGTCGGCCTCCTGATTACACACACATATATACACACAACAACACACACCCACACATTACCCACACACACACACACACACACACACACACACACACGCAGGAGAAGAGCCTGAATTGGGCCTCTTTCACGGGATGCACCCGCCCCCCATGCTTGGGAGATCAGCTGGGTCTGTTCTCACAGGTTTAAATCTGACAAGGAAAACATCCCTTTCCAGGCATTTGCATAATGTACTGGCTGAGGCCGAGGTCCCCCAATGCTGCCAGGCACAGCTTTGCAGCCTCCTGGGGCCTCTGGGTGTCCTCCTCACCCAGAGCTG